CCATGCAGATGCTCTCAGAAAAGCTTCTCGTGGGTTTTTGTGATGCTTGCTGTCATCCAGGTTCATTTCAGGCAGAACCTTCAGACAGATGCTGGGCAGGGGCAGGGGCAGGGGCAGAATGAACATATGTTTATAGAGAGGGACGTTATGGTGACCACCAGGAGACCTGTGTTCTAGTCTAGCTTGGCCCTAGAATCACCTTGTGACCTCAGACAAGTTCCAAGACTCAGTTTCCTCATATTTAAAACAAATTGGTTGAACTAAGCTATCTTCCAGCTCTGACATTTCATAGCAGAATATTAACTAATCTCTCCATTCCTTATGGAATTTTGTTTAGAAACTAGGAGGATAATCTTTGCCACAGGAAATCTGGGAATGCTTGCAGGCTTTAGGATCATAAAACAAATATTAGAAAGGAAACCTAAGAACATAATGTACACTGGGGCCTACCTGAGGCTGAGGGTGGGAGAAGGGAGAGGAGCAGAAAAAATGACCATTGAAGACTGGGCTTAGTGCCTGGGTGACGAAATAATCTGTACAACAAACTCTTGTGACACAAGTTTACCTATATAACAAACCTGCACATGTACTCCTGAACCTAAAATAAAAGTTTAAAAAAAAATATATATATATATATATATAATGTTGTTCTGTACTTTTGGCTCATATTTTCCAAGGTCCATAACAAATATTCATGACATAATTATATCTTAATTTTCATATGCAGAGAGGTAGATGGGGAGATAGGAATAATGCACTTTGTGGAAATTAATTATACTGTATCAGAATACTACTGCATTTGAATATACTGGGGGGACAAGATTGGATCCACAGCTTCACAGACATAGATCCTGCCTTCAAAGTTCATATCTTCTTAGGGAAGCTCAGGCATAAATATAAATAAGTCAAATACAAAATATGACATTTTAAAGCCAATAGAAAGGATTTTAGAGGGGAGAAAAATCACCTACTGTTTGGGGATATCAAAAAAGTCTTCATGGAGGAGTTTGGATTTGAGATTGGTTTTGGGAAAGAAATGATCGTGAGAAATAAAAGGAGGCTAATCAGAGGAAATACTATGAATCAAAGCCGACACAGGGCAATCTTGTGAGGTTTAGTGACTAGTGAGTGGGTCATTTGCCTGGCTAGGGCACAGGGCTGTGAAGAGAAATAGTGAGAAAGAAGACTAATTACATTTATATGTCATACTTGCCTAGTACACAAGTACTTTTAGGTCAAAATCTTTGTTCAATTCAACTTTGTTTCCTTACTAAGGATGACTTGTTTAGTGAATAAATCACTTATATTGCATGTTACTTTTCCTCCTAAACCACCAAGTACAGTGTAGACACAACCACATCTTAGACTCTGAAATCAGGTTGAATACAAGACTTATCCTGTAGATGTGAAGTACCACCCCTCAGCCCTGTAACTGTAGATAGATTATCTCTCACCTGGGGAAGGAAGTTGTGTCATGTTCATAAGCCCCTAACAGTTAAAATGTGACGTACACATGACAGGTACAAGATGCTGAATTCAGCAACTCTGATGAAGAAAAAAGCCCATCGACTGCAGTGCTTTGCCATGGCCTGTGGGGCCAGTCCTAGGGAGAGCAAAACAAAGAGGATCTTAGGGACCATCACTGAGTGGCAACAAATGAAATCCCCCGAGAAAATGTGTTGATAAATGTTTACTGAGATTCTGTCGCTTAGCAATGTAGTAACCAGATTGTTGCTGGAAAAAAAAAAAGACAAGGGGTGGGGAGCATCTGGACTTTCCCGTATCTAGAGTATAATGGTGGATAAGAAACCCATATTTCTATTGACATGAGAAAATTGTATAGGACTACATGTATCTATGTACAAATGGGTACAAGTAAAGCTAAGGAAATCTGAATAAGATACATAGTTGTGATATTGAATCAGTATTGCAAGATGTTACCATGGAGAGAAACTGAATAAAGGGTACATGGAATATCTCTGCATTATTTCTTACACCTGTATGTGAATCTACAATTATCTTAAAAATTTGTTTTAAGTCCCAGATGGATTCACTGGTGATTTTCCTAAAAAAGAAATTATACCAATTTTCTACAATCTGTTTTAGAAGATAAAAAGAAAGGGAATACTTCCTAACTCACTCTATGAAGCCATCCTTATCCTAATATCAAAACCAGAAAAAGACATTACATGTAAAGAAGTAAACTATAGATCAGTATCTCTCAAGAGCATAGATACAAAAATTCTCAACAAAATATTAGCAAATTGAATCCAACAATACATTAAAAAATTATAAACTGAGACCAAGTGGGATTTATCCCAGGTATGTAAGCGTGGTTAAACATTTAAAAGTCAATTAATGTAATTCATCACATCAAGGCTAAAGAAGAAAAATCACATGATTATATGACTAGATGCAGAAAAAGCAACTGACAAAACCCAACACTAATCTATGATAAAATCTCTCAGCAAAACAGGAATCAAGGGGAACCTCCTTACTTGATAAAGAACATCTACCAAAATGCCTACAGTTAAAATCATGCTTAACAGTGAGAAACTCAAAGCTTTCCTACTAAGAACAGCAATAAGGCAAGGATGTACTTTTACATCACTGATTTTCAACATCACCCTGCAGGTCCTAGCTAATGCAATCAAACAAGAAAAGGAAACAGAAGGGATACAAATTGGGAAGGAAGAAATACAACTGTCTTTGTTCACTGGAACAAATGACATGATTATGTACATAGAAAATCCTTAAAAAATGACAAAGAATACACTCCTAGAACTAATAAGTAGTTACAGCGCTGCTGCAGGACATGTGGGTAACACGTAAAAGTCAATTGCTTTCCTAAACACCAGAAAATGAACAAGTGGAACTGGAAATTAAAAAACACATTACCATTTACATTAGCAATCCAAAAGTGATATGCTTTTGGAATATAAACCTGACAAGTATGTACGAGAGGAAAACTGCAAAACTCTGATGAAAGATGTCAAAGAAAACATTAATGAAGGAATATTCTATGTTCATGGATAGAAAAACAACAGCCTCAAGATTTCAATTCTTTCCAAAAAAAAGACAAATAGGTAATGGAACAGAATAAGGAGCCCAGAAGTAGACTCACACAAATATAGTCCACTTATCTTTGTCAAATGAGCAAAGGAAATGTAATAGTGCAAAGATAGTGTTTTCAACAAATCATGTTGGAACAAGTGGGCCACCATATACAAAAAGAATCTAGACATAAACTGTATACCTGTCACAAAAATTATGACCCACAAAATAGATCATAGATCTAAATGGAAAATCCAAAACTATAAAGCTTTTTAAAGATAACACAGGAGAAACCCTAAATGATTTTGGGTATGATGATGACTTTTTACCACAGAAGCATGATCCTTGAAAGCAGTAATTGATACGTGGACTTCACTAAAATTAAAAACTTATGCTCTGCAAAAGACAATGTCAAGAGAATGAGAAAAGCCACTGACTGAGAGAAAATATTTGCATAAGGCACTTCTCAAAAAAAAGACTATATGTTATCTAAAACATAAAGAGAATTCTTAAAATTCAACAGTAAGAAAATAAACAACCTTATTAAAAAGTAAGCAAAAGACCTAAACAGATACCTCATCAAAGAACATATACATATGACAAGTAAGCCTATGAAAAGATTTGCAACATCATATGCAATTAGAGAATTGTTAATTAAAATAACAATGAGATGCCCCATACTTAACTATTAGAATGGTCAAAGTCCAAAACACTGACGATAATGATTGCTGGTGAGGATGTAGAGCAGGAGGAACTTTCATTTATTGCTGATGGGAATACAAAATGATACAGTCACTTGAGGAGACAGTTTAGCAGTTTCTTATTAAACAAAACATATTTCTACCACATAATCTAACAATTGTGTATTTGGTATTTACCTAAGTGAATTGAAAATTAATGTCCACACAAAACCCTGCACATCAGTGTTTATAGAAGCTTTATTCATGACAGCCAAAACTTGGAAATAACCAGTAGATGAATGGACAAAAAATATGATTCATAAAGATAATGGACTCTTCTTCAGTGCTGAAAAGAAATGAGCTGTCAAGCCATGCAAAGACGTGGTGGAAACTTAAAAGCATATTACAAAGAGAAAGAAACCAATCTGAGAAGGCTACCTATTGTATGATTCCAGTTATGTGACTTTCTGGAAAAGGTAAAATAATGGGGACAGTAAAAGGAGCAATGATTTCCAGGAGTGAAAGGAAAGGTAGAAATAAATTGGCAGAGCACAGAAGATTTTTAGGACAATGAAACCGTTCTGTATGTTACTATGATGGAGGATACATGTCATCATATCTTTGTCAAAACCCCTGGAACAAAACGTACGACACCAAGAGTGAAGTCTAATGCAAACTGTGAATGATGTCTAATGTAGGTCTATTGATTATAATAAATATCCCACTTTGGTGCGGGATGTTGCCAGCTGGGGAGGTTGTGTGAGTATGTGTGTAGGGAGTGGGGAAAAGAGGCAGTATATGGGAGCTCTCTATTTTTTGCCCAAGTTTGTTTTGAACCTAAAACTGCTCTGAAAAATAAAATTTGTTAATTAAAATAAGAAGAGGGTCTTGAGCAGCAGTTCTCAGAGTTTTGTCTTGGAACCTCCCTACATATCTGGAATCCTATCAGAAGGTTAACTAATTTCATAAAAGCACTGACACATTAGTTGCCTCTTTCAAACGCATTTTCTTATGAATGTACAGTGGAGTTTTCCAGAGGCGACATGACATGTGATTTCACAACAGACTGAATGTAGCAGCAGCTAGGAGAATCCAGCTGTCCTCAGTTAAGCCAGACATTGAAGAGATACCATGAAAATATAAAACAGCATCACTCTTTTCACTGTATCTGTTTTGGTTTAGAAAAATAGTTATTTCTAAAAATATTTATTTTAGCATGTAATATGTTTATTATTTTAATTAAAATAATAAACACTTTTGAAAACAATTCTGACATTTATTATTTTATGCAGGAGATAAAAACAGCAGTGAAAAGGGTATGCGTTGGGACTGAACCTCTCTCAGCCAGCGAAAGCAGAGAATACTCCTCATCAGGCAGCAAGTGGCATTTGGACCCACCTTTAAAAGATGGGTAAGACTTGGACACTTGAAGATTGCTGAGAAATGAGAAGAAGACATTAAGCAGGGTGCAAGCATAGTAGACAATGAACATGGAGCCTAAAGCACAGCATAGAAAACGGAGGATAACATCGGGAAACTGGATGGCTGGAAAGCACGTGAACATGTGCAGAGCAAAGAAAAATGGGAAACTTTATATCCTGAAGTCCTGGTTAAAGAGAGTAAGTGGTTTTTTTCTTTTGTTTTTATTGTTGTTTTAAATCAGGTTTACTGAAGTGTAATTTACATACGATAAATTTCATCCTTTTTTAGCGTTGAATTCTCTGATTTTTACAAATGCATATAGTCATGTAACCACCACAATCAAGATCTAGAACAGTCGCATTACCCCAAAATATTGCTTCTTATCCTTCTGTGACCAATGTTTCTCCTCGCCCCCATTTCCTGGCAACCAATGATCTCTATTCAAGGTCAGTATTTTTTCCTTTCCTAAAACATCATAAAAATGGCACCATAGAGTAGGTAACTCTTTGAGTATAGACTCCTGCACTTAATATGATGCATTGAAAATGTATATGTTTTGTTACGTGTGTCACTAGATCATTCCTTTTTATTGTTGGGAAGAAACTGGTTGTACGGATTTTCCAGTTTTTTTAACCACTCACCAATCAACAGACATTTGGGTTGTTTCTAGTTTGGGTCCAATATGAATAAAATTGTTGTATACATTCATTTACAGGAATTTATATGAATACAGGTTGAAAAGTGTTTTCACTTAAAAATGGTTAAAATAGTTCAAAAACACAGATGAATAGAATCTCAGCTCTGCCTTTTTTACATCCTGCATGTTGGTGGTTTAACGACTGTAGCATTAGGATTCCTAGAATTAATTATTTTAAACTCAATTTTGTTAATGAGAGACATGAAGCTAACATCTAAAATTAACTTGCCAGGTTCAGTCCGAGAGGTTCCCGCAGAAGGTAAGAAACCAGCCGGAGAAGTTCATAGGCAAATAAAACAAACAAATAAATGAAAATCTCAAATCTTCTTCACCCAACCTCTTAGTGTCAGCCAGGAAGGTTATGGTTGATGTAGAAAGAAAAATGAAAGGTAAACACTGCATTTTCAAAGAGGTCATGTGCTAATTGTATCCGTGAGAGTCTGCTAAATGAGGCTCAAATAAATTGTGGTCCAATAATAAGTCCCATATGGAGGAAACTTACCCTGCCTTGTGGCCAAAGCTCTGTCTATGGAATGGAGAGCAAGGGCTATCACAATGAAACTTCAGAGGCTTGAATACCACAAACATTAAATGGATGATTATTTCGACAGGCTGAAGTTTGCCCTGGTGCCATCCACCAGGAATGGATGAAGAGTGTGGAAGAGTTGCTAAGGAACTGCTTACCAGAACAAGTCCTTCTGAGGACCCTCCCCACATTGAGAAAAAGCCATATTGCCAACCCTTATGCTGATGACAAACACCATAATCCCACCATTAAGTAGATTTCTCTAAGGGTATGTACTAGGAAATATTCTAGTTCTAACTGCTCCATGTTCCTGGAAAGAGAGGATGGCATTTTTAAAATAAATGTTCTTCAACCTATAGACTGATAGACTCTTTGATATGACAGAAAGGGGAAATTTAGTTATTCCAATTCCTCAACAGAATCCCTTCCAAGCTTCTTTCTAAGCCACTCCCTCAAAACTTGAGTACTTTCAATATTCTTCAAATCCTAATCACTCTTTGAGACTGAGCTCAAATATCTCCTCTCAGAAGCCTCTTGAGGCTTCAGTTAATTACTCCTTTCTCTGTGTTCCCATGGTATGTTACCTCCACCTGTCCTGGGACATTTATCACGATATATTGTTATCTGTTTATTTACCTGTCTTCCTCCATTGCTCTATGAGTCTCCTTTAGATCAGTAATTCTGCTATACTCATTCCCTGTATCTTCAGTGCCGTAAACAGTGTTCAGCTTGAAGTACTCAATAAATATTTGTAAATGGTTTTGATTGCATTGGTTACCTACTGTCACTGACAGTGACTGACTACCTTCGGAGGCAGCCTATTTTGTTTGTGAAATATTTTGTCTGATAGAAGGTTGGTCCTTATAATGAGTCAAACCAGGTCTTAATTTCTACTCACTGCTTTTTTCTTTTTCTTAAGTTTAGATCTTAGGACTCTCACACAAATGCTGGGGGATTCACCACCTTATTAGACCTTCTAGGTAGTTAAAGATAGCAGTCATGACATCTTTGATTCTTCTCATTTCCCTGTTAAATGTTCTATCTGTTTCTTTACTTTGTCTAAGTTAAGATTTATTTTATCTGCATAATTAAGGCGACATTATCCGCTGCTAAAATTGGCACCAGCTATATGGTGGGAGGAGTTTGAATTGGGAGAGATTGTTGTGAGTCATCTCAACTGATCTCATTGACTGATTTTTTCCTGATGATTTCTTAACTTTCTTTCACCCAAAAGGCATAATTGTGATTTTGAGAAGGTTGGTAGATTAGATATTTAGTTGCATGAAACGTTTCCATTAAAGATAAAAGCTTGTAATAGAAATCTGTAGCATAACTCCTAGATTAAAGAATGGCCAATGAAAATAAGGGCTTCTGAAATAAAGTTGAGGAGCAGACAAATGTTCTTAATATCCTAATTAAAAAAAAAAAGAACTCTGACTTCACACTGACAACACAACCAAGCAATTTGGACAATTAGCAAATGGCCAGTCACTTCCACATCAACAACAAAATCAAATTACTATTTGATTTCAAGGATCCTCTTCTTTAGAAAAATCCCTTCTACATGCACATTCTGAGATATTCTTAAACTAGTATATTTTATTTCAAAAGTATTCACCTTCATTCAAAAAAACTCTCACGTGGCTGGGTGTGGTGGCTCACGCTTGTAATCCCAGAACTTTGGGAGGCTGAGGTGAGCAGATCACTTGAGGCCAGGCATTTGAAATTAGCCTGGCCAACATGGCAAAACTCTGTCTATACCAAAAAATACAAAAATTAGCTGGATTTAGTGGTATGCACCTGTAATCCCAGTTACTGGGGAGGCTGGGGCATGAGAATTGCTTGAACCCAGGAGGCAGAGGTTGCCATGAACCATGGTTGCTCCACTGCACTTCAGCCTGGGCGACAGAAGGAGACTCCACCTAAAAACAAAACAAAACGAAACAAAACAATCCTATTGTACCACTGTATATTAAGTTCAATATTAGACGCTGGGAATACAAAGTTGAATATGACACAATTTCCAAATTCAAAAAGCTCATGTTTCCTCCGTGGACCAACATAGCTGTATAAACAATTACAGGTACAATGACACAATAAAGAAAGAGAATTTTTAATGCCATCTGGGTGGTCATAAAAAACGCCATAAGACATAACATTTGAGCCTACTGTAATATAATTGTATAGATATAATATTCATAAAAATATGCAGTTTGGCAAGGTTTGTGTAATGAAGCAATCATACCAAGAAAAAAAGCGGACTAACTGCTTTTAATTTTACATTATGGGTATCTGTTTTTATATTTATTGAATATACCTTTACTGAAAATCTTCTAAAAGCTAGATATTCACCAAGTATTTGGAGAAAGATAATGAGTAAAACATGATTCCTTCTCCCAGAAGTTAAATAGGGTACACAGACACATACACGCTAATACAAGGCCAAAGACAGTGCAGTCTCTTGGAAAGAGAATAGGACTGAGGGTGAGGGGAAGAGAAACTTATTCTAGATCCAGCTTAGCCTATATTTATTCATTCAATATTTATTGAGCAAAATAAACACAATCGTTCAGGAGCTTACAGACCAAATACCATTACCATGGGGCTTTGAGCGGTTGCTCTCCTTTTCCGGGAAGTACTTCACCACCTACAGAATAATGTCTTTATTTGCACTGGTGTCCAGAATGTACATTTCTTGATATGTTACTTCATTACAGATGAACCAAGAAGAAAATAAAAGGAAAAAAGCTGAGGAGAACTGAGAAATAAATTTACCTGTCTCAAAATTCTGTACTGGGTAATTTGGATTATCCTGTTGAAAGAGCTGATTTTTTATTCCATTCCATGATATTGATGACAACAAATAGGATTAGAGAAAGGTGGGGTGGCCTTGATGTTAATACAAGTTTACCAGGCATGATGCTATGGGATGGTGGTTTCTACCCCAAATACATCTGTATTCCAATCAGACTGCTTAAAATTCCATCAATCGCTCTTCATTCTTCGGAGTCGGTAAATCATCCATGAAAATGCAGAGAAATCCACAAAGCACGGGTTTTCAATATGAATCTAGTCTCTTTTTGGTTCTAATCTGTGTCCTAAATATACTGCCCTGAAGATGAAAATTGGCAGGAAATTGCTATTTGGAAAGAAAATAACAAGAAGAGCATGCTAAGCACAGGACACAGCACAAACAATGTCCTGGAGATGAAACATGTATGCTATATTCAGGTGTGCTAATACACCAGGCTCAGAATGGAGCTTCAATCGGGGAAAAGGAAGAGACAAATAATTTGGGAAAATAAGTGGGTCCAGATTCTGTAAGATGTTAGATAGTAGGCTTAGGAGTCTTTTTAAAAAAGTTTTTAAAGTAAGGGCCAGAAAATGTTTTAGGGACATTAATCTGGCTATGCCATGCAGCATAGAAGAGAGCAAAGAGGTACTTTCATAAGTAACTTGCAAGACCACATGGCAGAAGTGAACACATCCATCTATCCACTAACTTGTGGCCATATCATGTTCCATTGCATATATGTGCTCTATTTCATTAGCTATCAAATAGCAGGTGGTCCCTGTCTGGGGTAAATTTCTGCTGTGCGTTGGGAAATGGGGATTTGGCCCTCTGCACAACTGGGCTCTGAGCTGCACATCTCCTGCTAACTTGAGGCAGACATCAGGCTTGCCACTGCCATCCCCACTCCAGGTTCTTAGGTGAGAAGGCAGAGCAGGCAGTAAGGGGCAGCCCTTCCTTGCTTCACTTTTAGTGCCAGGTATCTACATATCAACTGATATAGTCTCACATGTTATTTCCATTTCTTTCACATATATCTTTGGAAGTGATTTTGTGAATTTAAAAAAGAGCCAGAACTAGTTGGATGAGGTACACAACATAGTGTTGCATAACAAATTCATACCAAGAAAAACACCACCATTACCACATTCCACCACACTTATTAATGTGTGTTTCTGTATTTTAAATAAAAATTTAATATACACATTTTTAACTTTGTATAATGAAATAATTTTAAACTTGCAGGAGAGTTGCAAAGATAGTACAATGAATTCCATATACTCTTCTCCCATATTCCCCTAATTTTAACATTTTTACCACACTTGCTTTATCATTCTTTTTCTACAAATATATAGCAGGGTTTTTTTTTTCCTCTGAACTTCCTGTGAGTATGCTGTAGATATAATATCCTTTTATTCCTAAAAACTTCAGGGTGTATTTCCTAAAAACAAGGATATTCTTTTAGCAGAATCACAATATATTTAGCAAAGTCATGAAGTTAACATTTATACAGTATTAATGTTAATCTATACACTCTATTCAGATTTCCCCATTATTTGCATTAAAGACCCTCATCCTCTACTCCCATATGTTGGTATGGTTTGCCAGTGGTCTTTTCTCTGGTGAGACCTTTTATTCTGATGGTATTCCCTTCACTTTTGATGTCAAAATATTCTTTCTTTGATGGGACAATCGTATTTTTATTTACTAGTATTTTAAAATGTTTATTACACAAAATTAAAGATGTCAATCTTACATCACTTCTTCTTCTTTTATTGATTCATTAGCCAAGTTTAAAAACCACTGGCATAATTTTGCTTTGAATTTATGGGATGAATGATGGGATGAGGTCATGATGACTAGTAAGACATTCTAAATATGATGACAAGCCTTTATAAAATTTTCAGCAATATTTAAAGTCATGTGATTCTCAGTATGAGACAAAATACATATCATTAAGGAATGATTTGTATCATTCCTTTTACAATGTAGCAGCAAACTAAAGCACAATCCTTTGCCCACTTATTATCTGTGAGACCTTGGGTATAACATGGTGCCTTGCCCATAGGGCTGGCACCATAGTCCTCTTGTTGAATATTTAAATTGTTTTCAGATTTTCGAAATTCAAACACTACAGCAGTAAGCAAACTTATGTATTTATCTTTTTTTAATTAACATGTGGTTTTTTCTCAAAGAAAATAGAGAGGATCAAAAGAAGATACATAACTGAAAACACTTGAAGGCATAGGCTACCGTGAAAACCATGCAAGAGCTGTTCTTCCTGGTTTCCACATCCAAGGTAAATATATTACCCCAATCAAGGAGTTACCAGGGTTAACAGATTGTCTGCAGATGTGAAAATACACATACATGTATCCCCCACCTCCTGGCTTTCTCCAGAGATGAGCTTTTAATTGCTGTGCATTGGAGAACAATCAACTTTCCCTCTTCAGTGTCAGGGTGACACAGATTCCTGCAGGCTCAGACTCTTACTACAAATCCACATCTCTTCCAACTTGGCTGCTAAAAGGGTGTTTTCCTCTGCACCTAGCATTTTGGGCATCCTAAACAGGTCAGGGAAGCAGAGAACAGCTTCCATGTGCTCTAAATCAGCTCTGAAGGTTCAGTAGAGAGACCATCGTCTTCAGCAAGTAATGTTACCTTTTCCTTTTATCCAGATTTGGTGATGCTGTGTTCAAGATATCTGATGAAAATAGTTTCAAACTTTCTGCGTTTCCTTAGTCAGAAAACCCTTTGAAGGAGCCTATGGGAAGAGGTAAATGGCTCCAAGTTCATTTTCCAGGAAAGAGGACTTTGTATCAAACAGCTGAGCACATTTCCTTTCACCACTGAGAGCTGGCTCATCATCTGAATGAGATTTACACCTCCCTACCCCAAACTGTGCATATACAATCCTAGTATTTTGGAGCTGAGTGGAGCTTTGGGCCAAACTGTGCATTTTACAGATGAGGGAAACTAGCCTGAAGAATGAAAATGCCTCC